GAAGCTGCTGCAGTACATGGCGCAGGCCTCCCATGAGCTCGTCCCGCCGGAGAACATCGAGCCGCTGGTGAAGCTGATCGCGAACAACTTCGTCACGGAGCGCAACTCCAACGAGGTGATGGCCGTGGGGGTGAACTCCATTCGGGAGATCTGCGCCCGTTGTCCGCTGGCCATGGAGGAGGACCTGCTGCAGGATCTGGCCGCCTACGCCGCCTTCCGCGACAAGAACGTCAGCATGGCGGCGAAGTCGCTGGTGCAGCTGTATCGGGTGGTGAATCCGGCGATGCTCAAGCGGAAGGACCGGGGCCGGCCGACNTCAAGCGGAAGGACCGCGGCCGGCCGATGGAGGCGAGTGCAGAGCAGCGGGTGTACGCCTACGCCGAGTCGAAGGCGCTCAACTACATTGCCGGTGCGGAGGTGCTCAAGGATAAGGCGCTTAAAGAAGGTGGTGGTGAGGGTGATGAAGAAGAAGGAGGTGATGAAGAGGGTGATGATGAGGAAGAGGATGAAGAAGAGGAAGAGGGCGACAGCGATGATGATTCCGAGGGCTGGGTGGACGTGCCCCAGTCCGAGGACGAGATGGAGCTGGAGAAGAGCAAGGGTGGAGAAGAAAATGAACTAACTCCTGAGGAGCTGCTGGAGAAGGCGCGCCTCATTTCCTCGGAGCGCATCCTCACCCAGGAGGAGTTCCAGAAGGTGAAGCTGGCGCAGCTGTCGAAGCAGGTGCGCGCCGCCAAGCCGCGTCGCTTCGCCAAGTTCACCCGCACCGAGGAGCCCGATGTGCTGCCGAACCTCGCCACCAAGGAGATCGTCTCGCTGGGCGCCATTGAGCGTCTCTACCGGCGCTCCAAGGCGGACAAGGAGGCGCGGATGGAGTCGGTAAAGGGGGGACGGGAGGACCGCGGAAAGTTTGGCGCTCGCAAGGGAAAGCTGAGCGAGCACGCCAGTCGCAGCAAGCGGGAGCAGACGAAGACGAAGGCCTTCATGATGATCAAGCACAAGCTGAGTCGGAAGAAGAAGAAGAGCTTCCGCGAGAAGCAGGTCAGTCTGCGGAATGCGCTGGTGAAGCGCTGCAAGGCTGCCTAGGAATCGGAACCGGAAATGTTTTTTGGGTGTGTTGTGATATTTTATTTTGTTTATTATAAATACGCTGTCTGTGGACAGCAATGACAACAAAAGGTTCGGGACAGCAGGCGCTCTACTCTCTACAGCTACTGAAATTCGGGGCAAATTCATCATCGTCTTCAAACTCGAACTCGAAGTTCTCCAAATTGTGTCAGTTTTGATTTGTCGATACCTCTGTGTGTGTGTGCGTTATGATTCTGCTGCTGCTACTGCTTCTGCTCTACAAAATCTTCAAATGACATCTTTTTCAAAATTCTCCTCTTCACTTCCTGCCGAATCGCATGTGACCGTAGTCGGGATCGTTGTACTTGATGCGAGTGCTTCCGCTGCGGCCGAATCGCAGGTGGCCGTAGTCGTCGCCGTTGTTGCCTCGCTTCGACAGCATCGACAGGTACATCGAGGCGGGACGAAGGCTCAGTTCATCTGAAGAATTCAAGGAATAATAGATTGAAGTTGAATTCAAGGTTTAAAGGATTCTAGAAAACAATTGCCCTTACCTTCCTCCTGGCTGACTTCCCGCTTGTAGTTGTCCGCGAGAAGCTGAAAAATTCGGCCCAGATCGCCTTTGGAGAGGGCTGGCAGGACTCCATCAGAAGAAATCGAAGAGGAAACGGCGGCGGCTGCTTCTTCCTTTTTCGCTCCAGCAGTCGAAGCGCCGTCGCTTCCGCCGGCAAAGAGGAGAATTG